GTTAAATATCAAATAGTCCAGAGCAGTGGTTCTCAACCTTTTTAATGCCGCGACCCCCAACTGGTCGTAAGTCGAGGACTAAACCGGTCGTAAGTCGAGGACTAAACCGGTCGTAAGTCGAGGACTACCCAACCGGTCGTAAGTCGAGGACTTTCCCTGCCCGGGAGCACCGCGCATGCGTGGTTCCGCCCCCTGCGCCGGCCGAGGTGTAGCTGGCAAGCGGCAGAGACGGAGCAGGCCGACCACCAGCTGGCCCAGCTCAAGGGAGGTAAGGCACCCGCCGGAAAAGGGGGAAAAAATGGCAGACAGCCTTGCTTGGCGACCCCCGTGAAATGGTCGATCGACCCCAAATGGGGTCGCGACCCATAGGTTGAGAACCGCTGGTCCAGAGCAATGAGTTGTTCTTGGCTTACCTGTACTAATTGTATTGTATGTCCCATGTCATCTGAAGACAAGTTAATGATAACAAATCTATCTATCTATCTATCTATCGATCTATCTATATCTATCTATCTATCTATCTATCTATCTATCTATCTATCTATCTATCTATCTATCTATCTATCTATCTAATTCATATACTGCTCATGTTGCTGTGCAAGGTAATACTCAGCAACTTAAACATAATAAAACATGTGGAAGTAAAACAATTATAAAGCTGATTAAAATTGGAAGAGATCAAAACAAACTTAAAAACCATGGGTTTGGAGGAGAGAGGTGGTGGTGATGGCTTCTCTGTTACTCCAGTGGTGGCTACTAGCCACCTCCAGACAACAGCTCCTCCTTCAGGGCCCCATGCCAACCAGCATACATACCAAGTTTTAAGGCATTTCCTGAAGGCCAGAAGGATGGGGACAGACCTTCTTGCATCAAAATGTAATGGTGAAGGCATTTCAGTGTTCAGTATTCAGTATTGACAATACCAAAGGTCAATATTATAAGTTATGTTATAATTTGTTGTTCCAGATTGTCAACCGCTAAGCGTGTGCAGCACTTCCTTTCAGACAGCATTGTGATATTTTCCCCCCACCTGGTATAGGATAAAAAACAGCTGTTGTGGATCTCCCATGTTGAGATCACCATTCACTGTTAGAATAGAACAAGATAACTAACTTACTTATTGTGCTTCAAAATGCATGTCTGCTATTTTGCTATGCTTCTATGCAACCATTCATCTTACATCCATCTCACAACAAGTGTTACAACCATTTGCTTAGCAACATTCAAAGGTATAATGGCACTGAAAAAAGTGACTTATGTGGTCCTCACACTTACGACCACCACAACATCCCCTGTGGATGTTGATACTTGGCAACCAGCATGTACTTAAGATGGTTGCAGTGTCCCAAGGTCACATGATTGCCATTTGAGATCTTCCCAGACAGCTTTCAACAAGCAAAGGTAATGGAGGAAAACAGATTCACTTAATGAATGCATGATTCACTTAAGAACCACAGTGATCTGCTTAATGACCATGGCAAAAAATATAAAATCAAGCATGACTCGCATAATGACCACCTTGTCAGTGATTGAAATTCTGGTTCCAATTGTGGTTGTAAGTCAAGGACTACCTACAAGTGATTTGCACTTTGTGGGGCATGTAGACGTAACCAGGAAGAGACAGTCCCTCAGATAATTTGGTCCCATGCCATGAGCTTTAAAGGTCAAAACCAGCACCTTGAATTGCACCTAGAAGCAAACTGGCAACCAATGCAGCTTGCAGAACAGATGTAAGGTGTGCCATTCTAGAGGCACACATAACTATCTGCGCAACTGCATTCTGCACCAGCTGAAGATCCTGGGTGCTCTTTGAGGGCAGTCCCAAGTAGAGTGCAACAATCCAGTAAACTTTATGGTCAGTCCTTGCATTGGTAATCTTTGCAGGTCTGTACAGCAAACAAAAGCTGAAGGAAGGTCATAAGTACAGTTGCAGTTTCACTTAGCAACTGCTTTGCTTAACAACCAGGTGCTGGTCTCAATTGTGGTTGCTAAATATGGACTAGGGGTACATTCCCATTTGGGAACTGCTTCACTTTTTCAAGTGTCAATCTTTATCATCTTGGGTGATGTTGATAATCTCTGGTGAATAATGTTCTTCCTTTCTTCTGCAGACCAATTCACTACCATTTTTCATAGAAGCACATATTCTGCATGGGAGCAACTGAGCTTTTTCCACAGATGGAGACCAATGTTTTTTACCTCCATTACTTCATTCAAAGTGAAGTTTGAGGCCAATTCTGGCTTTGGGAAATATAAGTTCTATTTGATAGTATTGTATAGTAGTCATGACAACTTCATTTACATATACTCATGTGATCATTGGAAATATCTGCAATTCATAGAATCTGAAGCTTCTGAATTTAATAAGTGCATGTATATAGTTCCCCATTGCCTCTTTTCTGTTGATGCAGCTCTAAAATCCTTTTTTCTTTTAATGGTTAAAGACGTACAAAGATTGGGGACAAGAAAACAAAAAAAAATTACATATTGATTAATAGCAAGTTCCAATTTGCTGAGGGGTAACTTTTACAACACTAATTATTTAGTTAATACTGTTGGGTTTGCAACCTTTGGGATTGTTGTAAACTAATCTCAGGTTTATTACTGAGGCATCATCCTGGCAGTTTATTCAGTCTCCTACCTACCTCTTCAAATTAGAACTTTGGTACATGGGCCATTTTGCTGCCACAAATTTCCCATCTCATCCATTAATTATATCAATAGCTTTTATTAACAACGTATTTTTCCAGTTCTTTTGTTTTCTTTGCTGTATATTTTGAGCTTTGACAAATTGCAAGAAAATAGGTTCTAATAGGTCACATTCTGAATGAATACGGTAGATTAAATTATTTTTTCTTGTTGCTAGTAAATCAAAGTTCAAGTTGATAATCTATGAAATCATTTTGTAATCAACCTTGTGGCTGTTTCATTTAGTAGTTTAATTGCTGGCATTAGATGTGACATTATACTAGGGGCTAAAGTTGTGCAAGACAAATTGCATAGTATGCTGTCCTATTGTGTGTGGAGTCATTAATTAAGCAGGAAACACATATTTTTCTTGACAATTGTGGGCATCTGTTAAAAATGCAAAAGAACATACAGGATTCAAAAGGGCAATTCAGAATTGCTACACAAAGTAATGTATCTTAAAATATCAAACATAGAACCATCATTCTAAGAGCTTCAGGGATAACATAGGTCTGTAATCTTGATATGTAGGTATGTAAGACAAAGAAATTGGAAGAGACTGAAATGTTTATCGAGAAAGCTTTATCACAGGAAAGAGAGACAATGTAAGATTGGTATTGATTTTAAAATAAAAGTTGTAATAAGAATCTGCACAATTATTAAGCCATCTATAACTTAACAAAATAACATGGAAATTAGCAGCTACAATATTTTTCTTATCTTTTAGCAACTATTCAGATATTGGGTGGGTAAATTGGTAGGGTTTTCAAGCCACAAAAGTAGATTTTGTGGTTAAAAAGATTGTTTAAATTTTCTCTCATTTCAAAGTGGAAGGCACACATTTTTCTGCCCTGTGGCAGTTTTTCTGAAGCGTGATTTTCCCACTAAAAAAATACATAAAATACCCTTTCAATCAAGATTTATTACATACTGTCTTCATCAGTCACATGAATAGTATTATTCTTAATTAATGGCAGTGGAACTGTTTTGGAATCTGATTACTAGATCAACTACTTAGAAGCAGGCTTGGTATTACCCGGACTGTATTAATTTTTAATAATTATTATCTCAGAAGACAGTGTTGCCCTAATATTTTAAGGCTGAATAGGAGTATTTGTGTATGTATATTTTGACATGTATATCTTAAGAATACAACATCTCTCTTGGATCGGATCTATGGCTTATCTAGTACAGCATTCTGTCTCTAGCAATCACCAATCAGATGCCTCTGAGAAGCCAATAAATACAATAATCAAAATAGTTTCCTTCTCTGATAATGGTTGTCTAGTGATGGCTTATGGGACTGAAGCTGCTTTATGGCTTAATGATAGCTAGTGATACATTTCCAATGAATTTGTGTTAAAAAGTAGTCTAAACTACTCTCATTGTATCTTGTGACAGCAAATTTTATAAAGTATGTTGTATCTATCTTCAGCTTCCTGCAAATCAGCTTCAATGGAAGTGCCTAGATTCTAGTTTTATAAGAGAAGGAGAAAAAATTATTTTCACTTTCTCTGCACCATGTACAATTATATTCCTTACCTGCTTTCTAAAAGGCTCTAAACCCTAAATATTATAACCTTTCAGAAAAGATATTTCTGTCCTTTGACTATTTTCTATATGTTTTCTACCTTTATAGTTTATTTTTTAAAATCATGTACAGTATAGAGTTCTGGTTCAAATATGGTTGCACAATAGAGATAGATATAATATTGGCTGTTCAATTTTAAGACCTCTAGCTTATTCATCTAGGATGAAAAAACATGTATCACCTGTTGAAGGGCCTTATTCAGTATTTCCAATGGAAGTTCCATTTTAGTTACTGATTGCTTATACTTTAATTTGGGAAAAACTCATTGAAGTTGTATTAGTTTGTCACATATCTGTTTCTTCCCTTAGACATTAGTTATACTGTTTTCCAAGCCTTGAAAAGCCAGCAATGTGGACACTTGGCCCATTGAAAACTACTTTGTTCTCAGAAAAACATAGGATAACTGCTCCCCCTCTTGACTTATGAACCACGTGGAAGCAGAAAAACGCTACAGTCAAGAATTGGCTTTATTCATGGAGATGGGTAGCTGCGTCAATGGCAGCAACCCAAGATTGCACACACAGCGACAGTGGGAGGTATATATCCATGCCACAGTCAAAATATACAGAGCGCCGGGGGGGGGGGCAGGAAAGGAAAGATGCTCCTTTTGTTTAGGATACATAGACACAACTTTTGCACCGTTAAAATCAGGAAGTCTCTTTTACATGACCAGGACAGAGATATTTTTTTAAAAAAAGTTCCAATGATAACGGAACGGAGTTGGCATGATTCACGTGCAAGCAAATGTACAATGGGCCCAGTGCAAGGACCCAATCAAGGACATGGAATGCTCTGTTTAAAAACAGAGAAGATACAACATGCTGCTTACAGACACATGAAGCCTGGCCTTACTTCACTGGGAGGGAGTCAGGCAGTAAGGCTGGGCTTTGAAATGTACACACGTACACAAACCACTGCGGTCAGGGTTTGTCTTCAGTATTCTTTCTCTTTAACGCTAAAGACCACAATACATAAAACACTGATCCTGATGAGGTCTCTTGGAGCAGAATTGGAGGAAGAACTCATGACAGGATGGGGTATGGGGGTTCTCTCCATTACCATCTGCATCAAGGCCTTCCTTTGGAGAGATGGGTGTGGATAGGGAAGAAGAAATTATTGTTATTGTGCTGCTGGTGGAAGTGTCGGGAACAGCTGTGGCCATTATGCTTCTGGCTCATATTCCTGATATTCCTCCTGGAAAGAAATTGAAAACATTAATTGTATTAGATAATAGAAGGACATGAGGCAAAATAACCCAGCTCTAGATCAGATAACAGAAAAGCTTGCTCTACAAATCCACTCTTCTACTTTTTACTTGCAGTCCTTATCCTGTCAACTATAATGGTTTACTCAACAGAACTGCCTGCTTACAAAATTACAATAGAATAAGCCAATACAAACTAAGAGAGAAAAAGAAAGATAGAAGAAAAGATTCAGGCAAAAGAAAAGGAAAATGTAGGACAAAAAGATAAAATATATATATTTAAAGAAGTTATTTTCTTTAATCTCCACCACAAGTATAAACAAACTTAATAACTCTTCACCCCATAAGGTTAGAAATATCTCTTTTTCCAAAATCCATCCTTATCTATACGCTAATCCATAAATTATCAACTTTTTAGTCTTGGTGTTAGCAAAACACCCCTAAAAAGTTACCAGAGCTTTATAAACACATGCCTTATTTTAACCTTGGTCAAACAAACCAACTTACATTCCTTCCTTTTACTTCTAGCAATCTTGACCTTTAATTCATTCAGATGTTAGAGGATTTATCTCTTTTCAATTTTTCCTTTTCTCATCCAAAAGGTTTCTTTGAGCGTTAGCAAACCTCTTTTGGAAATCCAATAAAAAGGCATTATCCGGATCATTCTTTTTTGTTTAATCATTTGTATTTACACTTTACTGTTCAATGCAGTAACCATTCTGTTTTGTATATCCAGTAGAAGGTTAGGTCATTCTCTTGCTTATCATTTGTGTTTCCACTTCAGTTGCCTTTTCTGATTTATAATCCATGCTTTTTTCTTTTTAGTTTTTCAGTACTTCTAGTTCTAATATTTCTACATCAAGCAAAATTTATTTCTCCTCGTTATCCTGTAAATCTTTTTGGAGGCTTCTCTTTCACATGTGCTATTCCTTTATTAACTTCTTAGAGTTATGTTCTTTCCATAAAAGCTGACATCGTTGCTGATATTATAGGTGCTAATTTCTGACCCCACTCTTGAAAAATCTGGACTATTTCAAATGTCATACAGTTTTGTGTCATTTTGTAAATTCCAATGCTAACCAAAGATAAAAGGCAAACTTTCATTTTTTTCTCTTTTTCTTTTCTGACTGGCAACTTTAGTTCCTTCTAGTGTCCCAATTTCTGAAATTGCAAAGTCTCAAATTTCTATTACAACTTAAGGAAAGACAAAACAATTTTTCACACAATTATTTATATAATTATTTCCAAAGTCTTATAGTAAAATATAACATTGCAAATTTGTCTGCTACCTTAATTTGTTTACAACTTTCTTGGCTCAGAGTTTTATTTAGCTTTTTGCGTTTATTTCCAATTTTTTAAATTCTTAAGCATATAGTTATTTTTTTTAAATTTTCTAGAATGAAGGTAAAAATCATCAGGTGGCTTTTCAAACGTTTAATTCAAATTGTGTCATCTTTTCAAGGTCCATCCTTTTTTGATATCACTTTTTACTTTTCCAGTTATTAGCAGGCATATTAACCATGGTTAATATGGTTCTTTGAGCACATGGTTCTTTGAGCACTTCTTGTGTCTTTAATCTGTTTTCTAGTCCAATATGTCATGTTAGCATATGTAATTAAATCTGTTTTGCTATAATTGCCCTTGGAATGAAAAGTGTTTGTCAGCGATTCTTCTTCTTCTTGTGCCATATCCGTTATCGGATGTTGGCGATCCTGTTTTTATCAGCAGCCGCACGAAAAAGTACTGCTGAGTTTTGTCCAAACCAGTCCCTTAGATTTTGAAGCCACGATGTTCTTCTTCTGCCTGGACCTCGTTTGCCTTCAATCTTTCCCTGGAGGATTAAATGGAGTATGCCGTATTTTTCTGGGTGTCGCATCACATGTCCGAAATAATCTAATTTTCGTTTTTTAATTGTTTGGATAATTTCCCTTGGCTTTCCCAGGCAGCTTATCATCTCCTCATTTGTCAGCGATGCAGGACTTAAACTTGTTTTTAGAGATCCCACATTTTTAACAAACACTGACTTATAAATACATCTTTTCAGATTCATATAAATTAGTTGTTATTTTTCAGCCTGGCAGATTTCTTTCTGAAATTGCAATCAGTGCTATTTGAAATTAAAAAAAAAATCCTGGGTAGTATATCTTTGTTATTGCAGTAAGGCCTAACCAGAAAAGTTTTAGATATTTCCAACTTTCCATGTTTTATTTTATTTCTTTCCATAATTTGTTGTAATTGTTTTGAAATATCTTATTACATCCTGTCAAGTAGAATCCTAGGTATTTTACTAAGTCTTTTGTTATTTCATAGCCAGTCTGTTATTTGACAGTCTTCTTCATTAGAGGTTAAATGCCTTATCATAATTTTCTTTTCATTAATTTCATATCTAGAATAACAGCCAAATTCTTTAACTACTTACATCATTGCTGTATGGAGTTTGTGGTTGTAGAATTGTTAATACTATATCTCAGGGGCTGCCATAAAGAAGAGGGAGTCAAGCTATTTTCCAAAGTGCCTGAAGGCAGGACAAGAAGCAACAGATGGAAACTAATCAAGGAGAGAAGCAACCTAAAACTAAGGAGAAACTTCCTGACAGTGAGAACAATTAACCAGTGGAACAACCTGCCTCCAGAAGTGGTGAATGCTCCAACACTGGACGTTTTTAAGAAGAGACTGGACAGCCATTTGTCCGAAATGGTATAGGGTTTTCTGCCTGAGCAGGGGGTTGGACTAGATGACCTTCAAGGTTCCTTCCAACTTTACTATTGTTATTATTATCATTGCTGCTGTGAGTTGCCTGGAGTAGTGGTTTGAATTACAAATCTTTTCAAGGAAATAGCTTATCAATAAATGTTTTCCAAATCAATATCATCTGCATAACATTTCACCTTGTATTCTTCTCCTTGAATTCAGATTCTGATTATTTGTTTTATCTTTGTAGATCATGTTTACTAGGACTTCCAAACAATTTACAAATAGTAAAAGGGAAAGTGGACCTCATTGCCATACATCTTTACATATTGAGAAGCTTGCAGAGAGTGTTGCAATTGCTACAATCTTCACAGCTTGTTGTTGATATATGCTTTCCACCAAATTTTGAATTCTTCACTGGGGTTCATTTGATCTAGAACAGGGGTGTCAAACTGCCGGCCCGCAGGCCGGTTGCATTATGCAGAGGCCGCGCCCATCCCAGCTCCGGCAATGCAAAAAAAGTTGTGATACGTCGCAACACATCACGTGATGCGGTGAGTTTGACACCCGTGATCTAGAACATCCCCCCCCAAAAAAACCCATTCCCAATATTGAAGGCTTTATCTACATCAGAAAATATTACTGGTTTTTTTTTTAAATGTTGGTTGATATATCCTAGTGTGTTTATAATAAATTTATTCATCATCTTCCTCTTTGAAATATAACCTTTCTGATCTGTATATCATTTCACAGATGCATTCAGTCAATATCTTATAGTCCATATTCAATAAAGAAATTAATCTGTAAGAGTGAAGTTTCTTTGGGTTATTCTGTGTGTGTGTGCGCGCACACACACAGACATTAAAATTATCTATGCTTCTTCCCTTGTGAGCATATACCAGAAGACTTTTCTTGGAGCTTTCCTTCTTGTTTTTTCCTTTTAGCTGATTTGACTAAATTAGAATATAGCACTCTTCATGTTTCTAACAATGATTATTATACCCTCTGCAGTTTCTATTAGGATATAAACGTTCTTTTCATACACTTGTTTTCTGAATGAATTTTTTGTCTTTTTTCAGTTTCAAGATTAAAATGTGTCCATTTTTATCCTATTTTGTTTTTCTAATAATTCTTAAGAAGATGTTTAAGATAAATTACTATTCTGTTTTTCCCCCAGATGCTGTATATTCTTGATATAACTTTTTCTGTTTTAACACGGTGGTGTGGTCTTGTTTTATGTATTTCTTGTAAACCAACAATATCAGCTTTATATGTTTGGAGCTTGTTGAATATTGTCCTTCTTTTACTAAAAGAATTCCATCTAGATTTAATGATTAATACTGTTTTTTTCCCCATTTTGGTTGCAGTTAATTTTGGTTTAATGTTGCAGTTTAAAGGGGCAATGGTGGCTTCCTGACAAGAGTCTTCTCCCTACTTTGAAGTCTGTGGTGTTTTTATTACTCCTTAGATGTCTTAAGCCACAGGTTAAGCTAAGAAAGCATAGCCAGGGGATTTCTGTTCTCTCCCAGCCCATATTTTTTATTATCTAGTACCCATACAAATACATTTTTTCAATGCCAACTTCCAACATTCCACTTTGTGAACTCCCATGCACACACACACTTTTCCCCCTCTCTTTTCTTTGGCAGAAAGATTTAAATAATCTCCAATCAATCAGCCATTGGATTTCCATTCCCTCTATTGGATTTTATAATGGCAACTACTTCTCTTCATTAAATTTTACAAATACAATGATTTTGACTGCTTTTCACAACAGTTCCAATGCTGGAACAAAGGGAGAAGAGGAAAGAAGAATTGATTGCAGCATAATAGCAGTATTAGGCTGGACAGACCCTTCTTTAACTAAGATGTGCTCCAGAACTGAAAATACTGGAGAAACAGATTCATGTGAATGCCTGTGATTGATAGAGAATAATGACAATTAAACAACAGATAGATGCAGGGCTTTTTTTGTCATAGAACGCCCAGAACGGAGTTCCGGCACCTTTTTTGGATGGAACCTTGTAGGGTAGGCAAGGCGGGTTGTATGACATGTGTTAGTTCCAGCACCTTTTCTTTTTACAAAAAGAGCACTGGATAGATGTAAGCTGCCTTTGAGCATTCATATAACAAAGCAGTGTCTCATCTCAGCTATTTCTCCTATTTTCCTGTATAAAGTATAGAAAAACTGACTACTGGCAAAGGGATGAGATAGAAGTACTGTAAAAGTTTTACAACAGAATGTTTATTGGAAGTTGGTCAAACAAAAATTGTATAAAAAATAAGAGCAAGAACTTATCATCCTATCCCATCCCATTCCACCAAGTAGTGGATTAAGTAGTGATTCACTACTTAAATCTGAAAACAATAGTGGTTGGAGATAGAGATCTAATAAGCAAATACTTTGTATGGAAGATATTTTTATAACATAGAAAGAAAGGAGACAAGGAAAAAGAAGAAGGGCAGTGAAAAGAATTGGACTTAGATATGCTCAATCAAATGTTTAAGCAGCTAGCAATCCAAATATTTATATCCTGCCCATCTCACTATCAAAATATCAGGACTTGAATGAAAACTTTAAATGCCACAAACAGGGATGAATAAAATGGAGGATATGGAAACTGGTTTGAAAATAGAAATTGAGGATATGAGAATACTTAAAAATAGAGATTAGGAATATTGCAAAGAATGTTCAAGTTATACAAATTAAAGACTTAAAAGGAAAGCAAGAAAATCTCAGAGTTGGAAGTCTAAGAGCAAAAGTGCCAAGAAATAGAAAGGATATATTGGAATTTTAGCAATTAAAATTCAGAGGCATCTCAGAAGATTTCAAAAAAGGAAATCCTTAAAGCTTTGATGCAGGGATTTCCCAAGTATTAACACATTTTCGGGATAAATTCCATATTTGCAGAAAAAAGAAAATGACTCCTAATACCTTGTGAGATTTTTATACAAAAAATGCTATTCTAAAACCACAGATCAATACAAGTTTAACTATACAAGAGAAGCAAATCCAAGACAGATTAATTCTCAGGAATCAAAAAACTTTTTATCACAGGGAAAGAAACTGGAGATGAAGAAGTTGTTAAGGCTGACAATCTCTTTTCATCCTCAACAATTTATTTGATTTCAACCCACATTTTCTCGGGGAGGGGGGGGTTCGATTAGCTTTAGGACTTTATAGCAATTCCTAATATTCTTGTAAATTTTGAGCTCCAAATCATACTGTGGAAGCTGGTTGGCTTTGTTCTTCCCTGTGGAATTTGCACATGAGCAGTTTGTGATCTGTTCCATGTATAGAGGTGTCCATTTGGTTTAACCAATGCATTATTAATAAAGACATCATTGGATTGGCAGAAATTGGTAAATCATTCTCCTTCATTTCTGTTTTCCAAATCTGGCAACGTTTTCCTCACTGATTCAAATGTTGGCATTTCAGTCTCCAGTCAAAGGCAGCACATCTTGTTTACATGTTCTATCGATTTCAGATTCAACGTGACCATAAAACTCACCAGTCTCCTCTTTTTCTGCATCAGTAGTTGGAACATAAACTTGGATAATCATCATGTTAAAGAATTGTTCATGAAGTCTACTTTGTATTCTTTGGTCATTTGCTCATTATACCCCAATACTGTCTCTGCTATATCCTTCCTCATTATGAAAGCAATACCGTTTTTTAATTTTACATGTCCCGAATAGTAAACATGATGTACTGACTGAAAGTTCCCAATTCCAGTCTGTTTCAGTTTTGTGTTAAGATGTCACTGTTGATTAATTTCATCTTTCACTATTCAGCTTTTCCACGTTTATGTTTCGTATATTCCATGTTCCCACTGTAATTCTATCTTTGTAGCTTTGGATTTTTTCCCTTTTATGACAGTATCAGCAATTAAATGCCTGGAAACATTTAATCCACACCATAAACATTGTTAGTACTCTGAAAGAGCTTCAGCCCTTCTTCAGTAGTGACTTGAGTAAATCTAACTAGCCTGGTATATCATCAGTCATTTTATCTTGTCAAGACATGTGATTTTCTTGGTGAAACAGGAGTGGTTTACCATTGCCTTCTCCTGCACTTTATGAAATGATTGTTGTTACTGCCTCCAGTAACTTCCTATATTGCTTTTGCCTGATATAGGTGCCTGCTTGCTTTAGCTTGACAGCTAGGATGATCTTCATGTTTTGCCTGGAAGATATACTCTTAGCATATACACCCAGCATCCCTGGCTGGGGAGATAGAAGGCTAAACTCCTTTGTTCCCTAGAATTCCTCATTCCCATTTTGTGATCAGTTTGCTCTAATTCTGCTTCACTCACCTGCGGTGGCTCTTCATAATTCTCACTGTCAGGTTCTAACAGTGGCTCTATCAGGGGCTCCTCCACTGCTTCCTGACCAACCTCCTCGGGCTGCAAATGAAAAATGATAGCCAATATTACTTACTTCTGCCAGAGCACTTCCAATATGTCCTCTGAAGGTTTCCACCAAAAACAAAAAATAAACTTCTCAAGCCTAAATAATTGGCAAACAAAGGAACAAGCATCACGTGGATTTCAGAAAGGTATCTTTAATTACTAGATTGGGGCAAAAACATAAATCTTAAAAACTGTAAGAGTAAATGCCCAAGCAAAGTTATAATCAGTCTTTCTGAAAGTCTTGCTTCTCACAGTTCCCACTCCTGGACTGCCTCTTTCCCCATAAACTATACTCTCACAAAATTTCATAGACAACATATATTTTACAGGAATGTTTGAAAAATACTTAGCAACTAAAAGACTAGGTAACAAGGTATAATGACGCTGGAGAAAGTAATGGCTGTATTTGCAGAACATACCAAACATGGTTAACAATGGTTTACTGGAAATGTTTAGATTCCTACATGAATTATATGTTAACAACTCTGGCTGGATTTATAGTAGCTAATTCACAAACTAGCCAATCACATAGCTTAACATGTTATGCAAACCCTGCCATTGTTTGACAGAATGATGTACTCTGTAGTCCTATATGTTATTATATGACGGAAGATCATTTAGAGCAGAGTTAATAGTAATCAGCAGGTATTCCACTTATCTTATGAATTGGCATTGTTAGCCAGTCACATCCTTCTTTTCACTGGGATGTTCAAGGAAGATATAAGATTGCATGAATCTGGAATGAATGAATGCTTTGCATTTGTTTTTGCTAAAAAAGATATAGAACTGATATCTTCATTATTCACTTAAGCTTTATTAATTTTCTGAACAATGGGCAGGTAGGATAATAAAAGAAAAAACAACTAAGCCCTATTGAAAAAATTTAGCATGGATTCTACAAAGGTAAATCCCGCTTCATCAGTATTTTAGACTTTTGTTTAAAGTGCCAGCAGATACATGGAAGTAACCCTGTCAACACTATAGTTCCTCATCAAAGGGTGTACTTAATGGACATGGAATAAATGGGCAATTTTATCAACTGGAGTCCTTCAAGGATCTGTATTAAATTAAAATCAATGCTGATTTAGCTTGTTCTTAAATTATCTTTATTTAGTAGTAGAGCAGGGATCTGACTAAATTTGCAGATATGTAGTGGATAAAAACCAAAAATGACTGTGAACAGTTCCTGAAGGATGTTTTTAAACTACATGAGTGGTTAACCAAGTGGTAAATACTGTTAAATATAAAGTTTTGCACATTGGACAAGCCACCCACCCCTATGCAAATTTCACATAACCTATGTGAACTAAACAAAAAAACAGTATAGGCCTTAGTTCAAGGAAGATGTGCAGAAGATGTGAAAAAGGCAAATTCCATTATAGGGATCAGTGGGAAATGAACTGAAAATAAGTTTCAACATTTTAATAAACTTATATGGCTCAACCGCATATTGATTATCATATGCAGTTCTAGTTGCACTTTTAAAGTGCAGAGAGAAAGCTTAAGAAGCACCAAAGAGGTTAAGCACAATGATCAGGGGACTCAAATGCTCTCTTTGGAATAAATGGCTAACATGTTTAGGATTATTTAGAGAAATGGCAGTGAGAAAGCACATGACCAAAGTACACAAAATCATGCTTGGCGTGTGGGCGAGAGGGTTTTTTCCCCCCCTCTCAAGCATCACTTCTATGGGTTCATCTATATATGAATGCCCATCGATTTGTTATGAGGACAAGTTTTGCACTCCCTCTCGGAGAACCAAGCTGTTCCATTCAGAGATTCTAGCTGCACAGAAGAAATTCATCAGAAACCAGCAATCTGTTGAGCTCCGGTTGGACTGTTGCAGGGCCATCCTCTCTATCCGGCTGCTATGCTCCAGGCCTCCAGGGCCATTTTTCCTATACTGTAGCAGCAGCCAACGAGATAGCTCTTGTTGGGTACATGCGCAATTTGGATCAAGAGAATACTGGTTTTGTGAACGACCCAGTGCAGTTCTTCTATGAAGTCTGTACTCCCATTTGTAAGCTCTTTACATAGGTAAAGCACCAGTTATAGGAGAAACACACAATTATTTTAGTCTTAATCCCTGGGTTTTTTTTTGAATGGCACATTTTTTTTGGTTTGTTTACAAATTTATAAATGCTGCAATCATTTCTGTGTTACCTCAAGTGTTCATAGGTGATCTGGAAAGCTCCAGCCATCACCTTGCCACTGTCTGCTCAATGAGGTAGCTTAACAATAGCTGCTGCCCTTCCCACGCACTGATTTCAGTCTCTCTTGCCTGCCAGCTTTTCTATCCCTCACTGCTAAGCAATTGCTCTCCTGAAAGTAACCTCATTGCTTCCCGTGAAAGGAGCAATAACATTCCAGAGCTGTGGTAACAAGTAGGCTTCTGGACCCACAGTTTTTTAAATGACATTGTTTCTTCCCATCTCAACGATGGAAGGAAAGCATCAACATGGCTGTTGGGAAGAGTCCTGTGATTGGCACTCTGACATCACACTTCACAGGCTCCTTCCCCCCCCCCCCCTTGCTGAGTAGAGCAGAGTGCCTCTTCCTGCCTGAATGCACTGGCCTCATTTCATCTTCAGCTGTTGCTATTTTAAGCTAAGCTGGAAGCAAATGGTTCACTGGCAGCTCAGCTGCAAGATTCGAGAGTTTTTTCTCAGATTGGCAGTCCTGCAGCAGCCAGGCAATTTCTGTAATACTGTTTGGTTTTCTCAGCCTCAAGGTGCACAAAGTTGGGCTTCTGACCGCATGCCAGCCCAAATGTATACATTCATCAAACAAGTTATAAAAATGAAGCATAAAAAAACACCCATGTATCAGGCTGACATCAACCAATATCACTGCCTTTTACAGTATGTACAACTGATGGGATAGAGATTTGCACACATATTGTGTTAAAACATTACTGCAGAACCTATATATGCAAAAACACTTTCTTGTATACATGCATTCCCATTCCTGCACACCATGGTTATAGGTATAATCCTCATCCAAAGCAATAAGATATCCTATCATGAAAAATTATTGGAATGTTGTTGCATTTTTTTCCTGCTCATCCTAATAGGTCCTCAACCCAAAATAAGAGTGCAGCCTAAATTCATAACAGAGCCAAACTTCAGTTTTTGGGGAATTAAAGTAACAAAGATCTTACATCAATATCAAATGCCACTCAGATCTATTAGGGCTCAGCTATCCTTTCTTTCTATGGTAGTTTTGACATTCTTCCGCCTCTAGAATGATTCTTAATAGCTCTTATAGCCACCTGAAGGGTACAGGAGGCCTACCTTCACATCAGTGGGAAATTCTTCTTTCTTGACCAGTCCTGTGGCAGCTGCAATATTGCCAGCTCCTGAGAAGACAGCTCCACCCAAGTGTGATGCCTGCTCCTTTGTCTTCTCAGCAACTATGAAAATCAGAAGACAGAAAAAGCTCTAAGTCTTATGAGGTCATACAATCAGCTCATTATACTGGATGCACAATGTGTGGCCTTTCACAGCTTGGCTAAAGAAAAAAGATGTTGACTTGGAATATAATTTGGCAGTACTGTAAAAATGTACAACTACAATACAATGAGACAGTCTATTCATCATAGATGGACAGAAGCAGAAGGATATGCATAAGGCCATGGAAGAAAAGCTATCGCTATTAAGTCAATCTTCTTCCTGCAGCACATATGTCTTTTCTGAACTGTACACTGCTTCAGTGTACACTCTGTCCCGTTTTAAGCAAGCCATTTATTTTGCTCTCCAGTTCAAGTCCACTTGGCCTGTTAGCAGGAATGCAATATGTTTCAAGCGAAAACCTTGCCCAAGTGAGTGAAACTTTGGGGGGGAGGGTAGTTTTGTGTTGGATTTGATTGTTGGGTTATTTGGGGGGGGGGCATTTTTGGAATTATAAGCACGTGCTATAAAATGAGTGCCTGAAGATTTGCTGTAATTTAAAGCAGCCATTCCATCTCTTAAAATTCCCGAAACTTCCCCACAAAAATGTCTCCTAATTCAGCCCAATTTTAAAATGTATCCTTTCACATGAGATATAAAGCCTGGTGTGTCTGTCAAGCTGAGTCAAGTTGCACACTCACTGTATCTTAGCCAGTCCTTTTACGGCAGTTCTGCCAACAGGTGACAAGTAGTTGGAACACTTAATCCAGCTTTAGTTATGAGAGAGATTTTAACAATATCACTATTTTATTGGTTTGTCAATGTTTTAATACAACTATTCATTCAGGATTAAAGTTGGGGGGGAAGAGAAATAGCAATAAACATTACCTGAGGTCACACCTTGCACCACACCTTCCCGAGTTTTACTTCCTAAAGAGACAGAAAGAATGAACAGTTAAAATTAGACAGGTGTATGCCATTTCACTGGAAATAATGATAAGCAATTCATGTGAAATTACTGTAAAAACAGTCATTTGCTATTATGAAATGAGGCAGGAAGAGGGGAAATAATAATAATAATAATAATAATAATAATAATAATAATATTAATAATAATAATAATAATAATAATAATAATAATAATAATAATAATAATAATAATAATAATAATAATAATAATAATAATAATAATAATAATAATAATAATAAACTTGGAAGGGACCTTGGAGGTCATCTAGTCCAACCTCCTGCTCAGGCAGGAAACCCTAGCATTTCGGACAAATGGCTGTCCAGTCTCTTCTTAAAAACTTCCAGTGTTGGAGCATTCACCGCTTCTGGAGGCAGGTTGTTCCACTGATTAATTGTTCTAACTGTCAGGAAGTTTCTCCTTAGTTCTAGGTTGCTTCTCTCCTTGCTTAGTTTCCACCCGTTGCTTCTTGTCCTGCCTTCAGGTGCCTTGGAAAATAGCTTGACTCCCTCTTCTTTGTGGCAGCCCCTGAGATATTGGAACACTGCTATCATGTCCCCCCTCGTCCTTCTCTTCATTAAACTAGACATACCCAATTCCACCAGCCGTTCCTTATATGTTTTAGCCCAGGGCTTTTCAACCTTTTCACCCATTATACCACTTTCAGGATATGGCAACATCCGAGTACTACCAGTCGCCTAGCAAGGTGTCAAAAACTTGATGACCCCCCCAAAAGGAAAAAAGTGATAAAGTACAGGTAGTCCTCGACTTACAACAGTTCGCTTAGTGACTGTTCGAAGTTACAATGGCACTGAAAAAAGTGCCCCCCAAGCCACAGCCGAGCAAGACACCTGCCTGCCTGCCTGGTGGCGCTCTTCCTCCTGTCTGAGATTTTCATCATTGTGAGCATTTCTGTTGAGGATTGGCAGTGGGGGTGGGGTGGGTGTTTGGCTTTTATTCCCCCTCCCCGTCTGCTGGGTGGTTGCAGCAGGTTTTGGTCAATTCACATGACCCTGGGACATTGTGACCGTCATAAATATGAATCAGTTGCCAAGCATCTGAATGTAAATCACAAGACCCTGGAGATGCTGCAACATTCAAGCTGATCAGCGCTTCTTCTGGGCTCAGCAGAAGCGCCAGGATCAGCGCTGAGCTCCAGCTGGAGCCTGGCGCTGATCCTGGCGCTTCCACTGAGCCCTGACAGCCCGGAAGAAGCGCTGATCCTGGCACTTCCGCTGAGCCCTGACAGCCCTGCAGCTCCAGCCATCTCTCGCTCAGGCTTGTGTGGTGCTGCCACCAGTTCAGCTCATTCCCCTCCCCCGCTACCACTTTTCTAGGATGGTCGCGTACCACCTGCCAGGTGCCAATATACCACAGGTGGTACCCGTACTACTGGTTGAACAGCCCTGTTTTAGCCTCCAGTCCCCTAATCATCTTTGTTACATATTCTAACAGCACACAGTTACCAGTACTTTGTTTCATAAATTAACAACTTTCTCAAAGCTAAAATTCGCATAATATGATCATGAAGATACTTTAGGCTATGCCATTTCAGACTTCTTTATGCAATTTTTTCACTTTTAATCTTAGCATGTGAGAGGGCTACACCAGAACACTTTTCCTCCAAGCATCTAGTTCCTTGCATGAAGCAGAATTACTGTGAAGAAAATTCACTCATCTGCCTTAGTCTACAACAGGGGTGTCAAACTCGCAAGGTTACGTGACGTGTCGCGATATATCACAACTTTTTTTCCATTGCCGGCAATGGGGTGGGTGCGGTTTTGGCATGACGTATCCGGCCCGCGGGCCGGCAGTTTGACACCCCTGGTCTACAATATAAAATAGTTCATTCCAAATACAGAATTGCCATCTCAGCAACAGTTATACAGGCACTAACCAAACTCTCTTCACGGTAACAGAATTCAAATTTTCTAAAACAAACAAAAAAAGCTAAGTTACTTGGTATCTTCTTCAGTGCTTTAGGAGTTGTTGTATAATCATGAGTCATCATTCTAGAATTAATGCAGCTGTACCTGTTGGATGTGGGTCTTAAATAGGATAATTTGTGTAGATAGATATCTGACATTACAACTAATTCAGACAAAAAATCAAATATAACTGAACCAGCAAGAAATCAGTTAGAATACTACTGACTTACTAAATAAGATGCTAGAATGGTGATCTACAGTCTAGACAGGCTACCAGAAAAGAAAAAATATGACCCAGTTGTGTTGCTAGTTCAGTATATTGTGAAAACTCAGAAAATTAATTCCATATTAACCAATCTGATCTAAGCAGTTACAATGCAGACTAAGAGCAGAGAAATCTTGAGTTTTAATCTTGTTTTAGGCATGAAAGCCAGATGGGCCACTCCCACCCACTGAGCTTGGTAGTTTTCTTGAAGACGTTTGATTGCCCAAACTAGATAACATCATCCGTGCATGATGATATTACCTAGTTTGGGTAATGAAACTTCTGCAAGGAAACAACCAAGCTCAGAGAACACCAAGGATCCCCCATTTCAACCCTGTACTACAAATATTCCCCTCTGTCACCATTCTTACCCTCTCAGCCCCAGGAAGAAGGCAATGGCAAAGCACTTCTGAACATGCCACCTAGGACAGTGATGGCGAACCTTTTAGAGACCGAGTGCCCAAAAACCGGCCCGCTCTGCCCACCCACCCCCGCCCTGCTCCGCCCTCACCCCGCCCGCCCTCAGGGCCATCCACGGCCCATTGCAGATCTTGCAGCATCATCTGCTGCCCAGTTGCCATGTGCTTGGCTGAGCTGCTCCATGCGGGCCACACCCGGGGGTGACTCTCTAGGGAGGCTGCTGGTGAGGAGGGGGCTGCAGGGGGAGGCAGGGCTGGGGTGACGGCATGCGTGCCCACAGAGAGGGCTCCAAGTGCCGCCTCTGGCACTCGTGCCGTAGGTTCGCCACCACTGACCTAGGAAATTACATAAACTTCCCATGCAGGCATCTGTAGTCAAAACTGACTCAAAAGTATTATTTATATATGGCCAAGATTTACTTCAGTTGTGCACAGAAGATACTCAGCAGTGAACCTGTTTACTGTATATCAGTTTCGGTGGTCTTGAAATTGTCCAATATAACAAAGACCTCCTAATGGCTTTATTTGGGTTAGCTATTCCTAGAACCTCATGGATGAAATTAAGAGTATTCCAAAAATCACTGTATTTATACCCATATGCGTGCACGTATCACAAAATGTGCATAAATATGAATCATTTCGGGAAGGAATCCCTGTTGTCTGTCTTCAAATAATATGCCTCTTAATTACTGTATGCCATCTAGAAATGCAGTCTCCGGGGGATATAAATATTTAAAAATGAAGAAATATATTTCATTTTTCTTACTCATAGATTGTAATATTTTGTCACTATTCATCCCCCCTAGCTAGAGCAGCCAGTGGCACTATGAGTGCTTATGCAAGCATCACTAAATCCTGTGACATTATTAGGAATCAATGACATGAATTAATTTCTAAATCTCAAGGCATGGACTATGGACATAGCATAGCTATTCTGCTTCTGAGCTTCATGAACCAAAAGCAAAGCACAGATATCCTGAGTAACTAAATCTCCCCCCCCCTTCTTTAGTACTCCATTCTTGACACATAGGGCCCTTCTGTAGTTATTTTAGGCTTCTTTGAAAAATCAGCAAAAGCCAAGAATGTTTCATTAATATTCTAAAGGGAATATTATTTGAAATTTGCATGCTCTGCCTTTCTAATAGTATAGCATACATCCTTCATGATTGTTAAAATGCTGAACAGGGATTCTTCTTTTCCATCCTCAAACAAGCTTCGTCGGTTTCAAGTCCATTAGGGAAGTCCATGAACTCTGGCATTAAATCAGTGTTAGCGTTGAATAATAGAGAAACCCAGATTCTGTTATTTTTCTGGAAGGTCTATCTGCAAATTACCCATGATGCTAAGAAGCGGTGAGAAGCAATGCCCTGTTAATATGCCTTCCATAATGCACAGCTTTTTCTATAGTATTAAAACCTTCCATTGAATGCTTGTCAAGATTGGGACATAAAAACTGTCACTTGCACATCAAAGAATCCAAAAGAGCTTATGGAGCTTATTTTCTGTCACATTTTCCAGGATGAAGCAGAAGTTCCACACTGTGAGATGTTAACAAATGCCAGGTAAATGAAAAAAGGGCAAAATATGTGATTCTTTCAGGACTGACAGAATCTTAGTCAGAGTCTGTATTGAGGGATCGTAGCTTGCATAGAAGGTGAGTCATGACGGTGCACAGAATTAAGATAGGAACTAACCAATGGGTAACATTGGGCACCATTTAAATATTTTATATTACAATTCCTATAAGCTCTAGTCACTATGGACAACAATCAGGATTTGTGGGTATTGTAACTGAAATATCTGAGAGTTCCAAGTTGCCTATTCCTGGCTTAAGTATTATATTCCATCTTCTGTTTGCAATATGTTATTAATATGCATACACAGTATAAGTTATTAATATGCACAGCTTCCCTCACTGCTTCCCTCACAGTGAGGGAAGCTGTATAAAGATGCTCCTACTTTAAAACCATGTGAAACATTCCATCTTGTATTAAGAGGTTTCACCATTAACTGCTATGTGGGAAATACAGTGAAACAAGATTTTCCTTTATGAGAAGTGAAGCCTTCTCACTTTGGGTACAACTTCTTGATCTTCAATCATCTACTAATCTACAGTGACTGAAATAAGGTTTTGTCTTAAAAATAAAACTTGAACACAACTCTCAACTCACTCTTTAACAGATCCTATGGGAAACAGCCTGGATGCAGTGATCATCCAAAGTATCATTGACTTGAGCAGGGTTTTTTTGTTGTTGTTCTTTTTTTAAGTGGGGAGGGGAGTAGGTTAGTTTCTACAGATTTTGTCTATGAGCAGTGCTTCCATTCAATGATATAATTAGTAAAAGAGGTGA